CCCCCAACAATGCACTAAGCTCCACCACTACCGGTGGTGCTTCTTCATTTGCTAACTGGGCAAAAAGAGGTGACCGGTCGAGCATGTTAATGTCATTGCAAGATCCAGACATCCCAAAATATGAATGACAAAACCATGTTTCTTAATCGCCACCAGCCTCAAGAATGATAGTGGCATCCTTCCCACGACCCTTGAACTGTCCATGCCATGCTCTTGGGCAAATTTTCCACTTCCAATGCATGCAATCATCGGACCCTAGCATACCTGAAAACCCACAAGCTTTGTTCATCTCCAGCAACCTTTGAGTGTCTTCAGCATTGGGAGCTCTCAAGTATTCTGCACCAAACACTTCAACTATAGTCTTTGCAAATTGTTTGACATAGAAGATATATAGAAGTGCTCTCTGCCATCGCCAAGTTGTCATCAACGCAATGCGGCAGTGACCTTCTGTTCGGTGCTATGTCCAAGCAACCCTGTATAATTCCTCCTCTGCTCAAAGGATCGATCATGCTGCTTCACGGAATTGCAAATGTGGATGAACGAGTCTTTGGATATTCTGAACCGGCGTTGGAGGTACCTCTCTGGAAAAACAGGTGGTGAACCAACATAGTTGCGCATCAACCTCTTGTCCGCATCAACCCATTCTCTCTGAATGAACGCATGGCCATACACGAAACCCCCGTGCTTCGGCTTTTTCCCCTTGTGCATCGCCACTAGTATAGCAATGTCCTCTTCTTCGTTCAAATCAAATTCCTCATCCAACGAGGAATTGTCCATGAAAGAGGAGTCACACGAGCTCATCTACAATGGGGAAAATCACTGTCAAACTAACACTTCAACACCAACAAAAAAGGTCAAGTTTCATCAGCTTTTTACCTTTGGGAATTTTGTCGAACACCTTGCTTGTGGGGTGGATGACATCGGTCGACTGCGGGTTGGGCAGTCATTCGGCGGTGGTGGGTGCGGGCGGCAGTGACTGCTCAATAGAGGAGATGGCCACGGATCGACAGAGAAGAAGGCGGGAGCTCGACGCAGCGGGCGGCCGGCTTCACACGACCGAGGCTCGCGGCTATTGGGTGGGTAGCGTGGCGTGCCTCCCCTAACTATGAAGGAGGGTCTAGGCTAGGAAGAAGCCTAGCCCATCGTAGCCCTCGTCGAGGAAGGAATTTAGGCCGGCCGCAGGAGATGCTTCCATTCGGCGGCGGTCGAAAGTGAATTGGCGGCTGCGGGTGACAGGCCGGCAAGGCAGGTGGCGGGGGACCGGGGGTGGGGGCTAAGTCGCAGCGGACCCACCGGTCGTCGGGCGGGCGGTGGCGGCATTGATTTGGTGCGAATTTGGCCAGCGACGGAGTAGGGCGGGTGGCGGCTAGTCATGCTGAAGTGAAATGAATGACAGTTGGACAGTTGGCGGGCGATTGCGTTTTTACATCTCCATGTGGTGGAGATGCAAATTTACACCGCGAGGTGTTGTAGTTTACATCTCCGGAAGACGGAGATGTAATTATTTTTGCATCTACACCATCTGTTGGAGAGGTGTTTTTGGCCCTTGAAGATGCAAAAGATAGTTATTTGCTCATATACATGTTCTATTAGAGATGCTATAGCGTAGTAGCTGCAGCTTTTGTTAGGCTATGAGCTTCCTTCAAGATTCTCGTCTCGTTCTCATGAATTATAATCTCCACCGCAATAAAGCCCCCCATCTTCATCTCCTGAATAACAGCTCCAGAAACATTCATGTAAGAACCTTGCGAATCATTCATTGTCGCTGCACAATCTGTTGCCAGTTTAGCTATACATCAGTCAGCTGAAAATCCAAATTGGGTCACTCGATTTTCCCTAGAAGAAAGGAGGCGTCGGAGGAAAGGAAGAAGGAGCTGCAGCGGGGGCTCATCGGAGAGGCTACCCCATTATCTATCTTAGGGTTTTGGGTGGGGGCGGTGGTGCAATTCGCCGGAGAAAATCCCAAACACGGGCGGGCCTAGAGGGATGGTCGCGGCAGCAGTGGGGAACGGTCCCGGGAAGGGCGGGTCGGGGCGGAGAGGCTGCACGGGAGTGCCGCCAGGCATGGGTAGTGGTCGCAGGCGGTTCGACTATCGGCCCGTGCGACGGCCAGGGGAAGAAGAAGCCGGAGGAAGAAGAAGGCATGCCCATCGTTTGATCTGCATCCAACGGCTAGAAACAGTTGACTGGCCCAAATTCAGAAAACAGTCGACTGAAATGTACTCCGTTCCCATCTGTTGCATATCACCATCCCCGTTCACATGCAATATCTGCCGCTAAGTGAGAGAGGGGGCTTCATCACTGGCCGACCATTGCTTCGAGCACTTCCGGGTCGGTCATGTCTGTTGGAAATATGCCCTAGAGGCAATAATAAATTGGTTATTATTATATTTCCT